ACAGGATGGATGGATGGATGGATCCAAAATGGATAGATGGATTGATACAACGAGGATAGATGGATCAATCTACAGGGTTAGGTTCGATAAATAGCTAAATCGGATTTCTCAACCGTTAATGAAAGCACTCCTAATTACCACCCTTAGAAAAAGGTAAAAACTGTGAAGTGCAAGGTAGAAAATTCCTATAAACATTTTTCTTCCATCTATCATATCTTCGCGCACATAATTTTCCCTGTTCAAAGTTTTTTCTGCAAAACTTTTTTGCTCGAATCGCTAAATATCACAAAAATCAGCGCAAGAGTGCAAAATTGCACTAAAAAATGAGAAGCATAGGTGTTTGCAACTTTTTTGTTCCCCCCAAATGTCAAACCACCTTCTAAAGTAGAAGGCAAATCTTCAATTGCAGGTGGGGAGGCAATTTCCTACCAAACAAGTAACCACCCTTGGAGACAGAAAAGGGTAAGCTACATCGAAAAAAACTCTATCACCTGAATATCACAACCCATTTTGCATCCTTTAATGCCGTTCCTGTTTTGATGGTAGCCTCGAAAGCTGGGTAATAAAGAAGAAGGAGGGGAGGAGGGAAGGTTAATTCCTTTGTTATAAGGGCTGATGCCAATTATGCCCTTCATTATAAAAATACAACCTGCTTCATGTACGGCATTACCATGCCTGCCTCTCCAGCAAATAGGATGCGCTACTTTAATTTGGAACATTCAACTAGCCGTGACTGTATCGCCCATTAAAGAAAACTAAATGGATGAGCTAGATAAAGATCAGCCTATCTTGCAGTTTACAAAACAGTGAAGCAATTTTTCCTGGAAGTAGATGCCAATTGGTTGGACCCAGGAGATCGGCAAAGAAAATCTGACAAATCACAAAGTTCCATTCTTTGGTTTGTGCACATCGAAAGCAATGAAGGAAGACATCTTTACTGTCAAAAAGGGCATTTTTAATAATTTTTACCTTTAAATTTGTAAATTAAGGGTGTATCTACGCATTGCATTGCTTGGTCGGATCTGATTGGAGGATTGAGGTCGGATGATTGCTGAATACGCTTGCTACCCTTTTGTATTTAATTAAAGGAAATTTAATTTAAACTGAAAAGAAGAACGAAATAAATGACAATCTATATTATATTAGAAAAATAAAAAGTCTAAACTGAGGTAGTTGATTTTTCTCCGCACTATAGCATAATAAAGTACGCGTCAGATGGCTTGAGGAGTTTGGATACTGTGGAGAGAGAAGTCATAGCAAGGCTACTGTCAAGCAAACAAATTTTGGATGCCTCGAAAGGTACCAGAAGCAGTAGAGCAGACCAAGGTCCTTCAAAGTCAACTAATACCTAGAGTTTAACAGCCACAGAAAAGGATGCTACGTTACTGACGAGCGAAAACCAGCTTCCTATCAGGGCATCGTTAATCAAGGTGGCAGGCGAAAGTGGTAGTGTGGCAGTGAAGACGAAGCTCCGCCTAAAAGAAGAACCCAAACCCGAGAATAGCTGTTTGCCTAAACAGAAGACTTCAAACGTAGATTGTGCTATGGTAGAACCCCTAGCCACTCTTCAGGAAGACACTTAAGTTGTCAACTATTCATGATGATCGTCGCTGTGGTTCCACACAAACGTTCACCAAGAGTTTGCTTTTTCCGTGATAATCATGAACTCGATCATTTAAGAACAGTCCTACTTTCGAAAGATTAGCCCACGATGGATGCCAAGACGGCTTTCAGCCTGTAATCAGTACAGAAGATTTGAATGGTGCTGCTACTGATGGATTAATTTGATAAAATGTCTTGACAAGGGGGATAAAATTGGCCTGGATCTTACTGCTAGGCGCAACGACACTCAGGCGCGTCACTTCACTTCCGAATAAAATACGCACAAAAGTAGTGGAAGGATGCGAAGACCAGCATTTCACCAACAATAAAGGAGGTGCAGCATAGAACCACATGGAGAAAGTAGTACAGGTTCCTCAGCTTGAAGCTGATTCTTTTTTGTCCTTAAGTTTAATAGTCTTGGGTCGTATTAGGAGTGCCCTAAGGAAGGTCATTAAGTACAGGACATTGAAAACAAAGGCTTAAATTCAACTACTCATTACCGAATGGGAGATGAGAGTCCTCGCTTCCCTTATGCATGCCCAGAATTCTCACAACTCCGGAAAGTCGGCTTCTGTTGGAAAGTTCTGCTTTACATTATCCATAAATTGCTCTCTCGTGGAGCGTGTGAATTGTTGGGTCAAAAATCTTCCTCCTGTCAATAATTACTGCATGATTGCAGCTTCCAAATGTTCACATATAAACGGCACTGAGTCTTTACACTTTTATGCTCCATTTCCTTAATAAACGTAAAATTTTGGCATTTCAAACCACATTATTCTATATTTTTCTAGCTCATTTGGTTTAGTAACGAGAGACACAACTATGGGTGATCTATTGTTTACATTACAAATGTTTTAATTCTGAAGCAGTTTCAAGGATTTTTTATGTACTGCGTCGTCTCCTGGAATAAATGTTTTAAAAATAAGTCCTTAACATTTAGGAATAAATAATTTTCTTGTTGAAATCGTGTACAGGTGTTAGAAGTAGGGTCTATTGAAATCACCTTAACAGGCCTCCATTCAAACTAAAATGGCACCTTGGCGCAGCTTATGAAAGACTTTTCAATGCAGGTCATTAGAACATGCCCTTTTTAGCAGAGAAGGTGGCATCTTGTGTCAATTTTCGTGACCTGACCCTGAAACCTTATGCGCGTGGCCTGAAGTTGCAATATGATCGGTTATGGTGCCTATGGTGCCCGAGTTGGGAAAAGCAGCATTGGAAATGAAGTGATTATTCAATTCACAGTGACACAGTAAGTTGACTGAAAGATAAGAGTTTTGAAAACGTTGTGCATGAGTTTGAGTAGGCAATTATAGGTCTGCTTTTAATGAAGGAATGAATGAACGGACGTAGGTAGGGATGGACTGATCCAGGATGGATGAATCCGAGACGGAGGTATTCGGGATGGAAGTGTAGAAAGGGGGATTAAAAATGGACCAATATTTAAATTGCTTGATGATTCTAGAATTGATGAGGAGTACCAAGACAAATAAAATCTTATTTAATAAATTAACGGATAGCTAAATACGAAATGAAAGTAGGAACTAAAAGACCGACGAGTCGGGAAGAACAAAAGTGACGAATGAATGAACGAATGGATAAGGAATGAACGAAAAGATAAGTCCAGTAACAGGTAGTAGACGGATACAGGATGGATGAATGGATGGATGGATGGATGGATGGATGGATGGATGGATGGATGGATGGATGGATGGATGGATGGATGGATGGATGGATGGATGGATGGATGGGGGGAAGAATGGAGGGGATAGTAGAGCAGATGAGTCACGAGACAGCCAGACAAATGGATGTAGGGACGAATGAAGGGATTAAGATCGAAGCAAATAAGTAGGTGTGTAAATTATGACTTTACCGAAACTTCATCTCACCTTTTTAATGTCGTTGAGAGAGTGGATTTCCGGTGAGAGACCTCCATGCACACAAAGGAATTGTTGATTTATGAGAGCAGCCAACGGAAGACAATCGAAAGCCTCCATACAGGCATCGTACACCGCGTCCGTGTATTTCAGCCGGCCTACATTGTGGTGCAACCAAAAAAAGAATCAGGAAATATTTGCAGCCTCCACATCAGGATTACCATGTGCCAAAAAGGGCTCAGTAATACACGGAAGTAGCAATACTTATCTCACCTTAATTCAACATCTCTCTCATGCCCAGTTTCACCACCATCGTTGTTTGTTACAATCCTCTAAGGACCCTCTATGAAATTCCCTTAAAACACACACCACAATACTTTCTGCCTCTCAACTGGAGGAGTGATGACAAATGGTCATTTGATGTGCTATTCATACTAAGGGTTCCCTTCGCATTTATCAACAGCCCTTCTTGTCATCATCTTTCAAAAATGTCATTCTGTCGAAGTAGCATTCACATAAAGTCGGGCTATTATTTGTCCAAACGCTTTTCCTTGATTGTTAGGAAAGATTACCTCGTTGTCATGTAATATTTTTGGAGAAATTCGCCCACTTCAGACTTTAAACTTCAAACACCCATTTAAAAATCCTTTGATGTTTTTGGCATTTGTAAGTACAAAAAGCAAGTACAAGCTCTTTTGATGTTTACGCACTAGTAGACTTGTATGCTCTAATAAGCGATACAAAATAATTCCCCATGTAATTTATTGCAATATAATGCTGCCTCCTTTATTTTGTGGGAATTATACTACTTACTTATTTTCAGGTTGCCTCTGTTTGGCCTAATCGTTCGTCATCAAGGCTTCTTACAAACGGCGGCCTTTCAAACACTTTCCACGTTGAAACAGTCATTTTCCCAATCTAGCATCTTGTCTCAACAACATACAAGGTTGCTACCAAGTCCACAGTCAAAAAGTCCCTAACTACGGCAAACATCTTAGCTTTTAACGCCACCGTCTCTACCTATGCATCGCACTTTTATTTATCAACTGCTTATTCTGCTTCGGCCTGACACTAGTGCCGAGGCAAGGTGATAGCCATCACTTGGGGGAAAATGATGATGACGATGAGGATAAGGCACTATCTCTGGCCTAAAGTACACATTCTCACGTGGGTGCGGTCGGATGGGGTGGATTGGGGTTGGGTCAGTTTGGTGGTGTTCGCTATCTTCCATCAATTATGGAATGCGAGGATTTTCGTTGCGTAATGCTACAAGAATGCCACCTTTCTATTACCTATTTCCTAGTCATGCCTGTTTCTGAGGTTTAAACAGAGGCAGAAATGCAAAATGAAAAGAAATTAGAGCCTCGTCTTGGGCAGCTTCGAATTTCATCAGGCTGCGTCGAGATAGGAGCGATAAATTCTGGTCCGCCCTCAGCAACTGAGCAATCCTCTATGAGCGATTACGCCTCCATTTCACCACACATACATTCACACACCCACACAATAGGCATAGTCTTCCGGGGAGGAAATTATTTGTGTCCTCGAATTAACTGGGGGTAGTGGGTAATGAATGGGTTGTTTTGAGGAAAAGCAATGATAATTTCGATCACATAACGAGCAAGCCTCTTCAAAGTCAGTCCGTAAGTCCCAAAAGAACCTTAAATGAGGGAGGAAGAGAAATAACATAATGACAGTCTCCCAAGCCCATTGTCATCTGCTGCCAATAAATTATGACAATTACTTGATTAGCTCCACTTCAAACCAACCATTTCACCATTCACTTTCAACGGCATTACCGCAAATTCCATTACAAGGCATAATACTTCATCCGTCTCATGAACAGTGGATCTTTCTAATACACTTTTAAGTTTTTCAGTGTCAGCATCATACTTTTTAAACCCCTTCTGAATCATTATTTAACAGGTTCAACTAAAATTTCATACAGCAAGGCGGGGGGGGGGGGGGCAAAACTAGAGAAAAATAGTCAAGAGTCCATAAAAGGGACTGCATCATTAGACTGATGCAACGGATACGTGGAAATAAGTTACAGTTCGTTACAGCAAGCTATTTGCCGTAAAATGCAAGAATATCTTCAATCACCTGAAAAAATAACGCTGTGTTGAATAACATCATCACTCACGTCGTCCACAATAGAACTGCATGTCTTCGTGGATTATTGCACTACTAACTTATTTCACCTAGTGTCTAGCTTTTTTACAAGTATGCAAAGATTAATGGGATTTATATTTGGGGCAGGAAAAAAGACGAATCGTGATTTCCCGATTCAAAAACATCACCGAAAGGTTGGTGCATTTTCTGGGGGAAGCAGCAGCAATGCCCGAAATGCAGTCCTTGGGAAATATGCTGCTCTGAATCCGAATAGGCTGCAATTCAATCTAGACTAGCTTCCGAAAGCATTTCGTTTATTACAAACGGCGGCTGAGTTTTCGGGGATGCAAATGCGAAAACAAATTGTTTATATGCAATTTTGTTGACAAGGTAGTAAAAACATAAACTGACTGCTAGCATAAAAATAGTGATCGCCCGAATCACTGCCTATTACAGTCTCTACCTGTCAAAGTAGTTTCCTTTGGGAATATAAACTATCTATCCTCTTAATTTTGAAGAATAACTAAGTAAAATTACTGTAATACGTTGGATGTTTGTTTAACACTCGGTTTTGGTGAAGAGGCCAGGTAGGGGGTCCGCTATTGTAGTTTTGTTGGGCGGGCTGCCCTCCGGGCCATGCCAGCAGGTCCAAGCCATACTGTACGTTGAACGCATGTTTTGCCCAAGCAATAGGTCTTCTCCCGTCTTCTGGAAAGTCTCGGAGTACTGCGTTACGGCACCCACTGCCCAAGCCTCATCAAAATAGTGCAAATGGTAGCGCCAATTTGAGAGAAGATGATATAATTACTTCACCAAGCAACTTTTACCCTTGCAATGTTAAATTATTTTACCTAAGTTAGACTGGAAAAGGTGAGTGGGTAGGCTTGATTGAGTGGACCGGACATCCGAGCCGGTGTTTAGATGCCGGTTTAAATGGCTACCACACCTACATGCAATCACATCCCCATCGTACGCAATGCTCTAAGGAGAAGACGGTAAACCGGCCTTTCTAAGATTCGGCGACCGCAATTATAAGGATATTTCTCCGATTCTTTGAATGTTTTGATAACTCTCAAAATGTGTTTGGTAGTCTTTTCTCTTCTCTACTCATGTCGCGCAAAAATAAGTCATTTTTATTTATTCACCACTCACTAATATTTTTACAAATTACATAATATATTTATTTTTCTAATTTTTTTTAAATTCATCATTTCCCTCGAGTTTTGGTCACTGTGTGATGGCGAAAAATTCACTAGGTTAATTAAACTTCCTGTCCTCAAGTATGTCTCCTTCTGAAAGGAAATTTTGCAAACTGTAAGGGAAAAATTTTCAAACAAGACTAGAAGCTAGTGGATACGCAATATACTGCTAATTTGTTCTAAAAATTTTTAATATTGTGCTTTTATTCCCTCTAATGGGGGCGCGTGGGAGGTCTTGGTTAAGGGCAAGGTTTATAAAGATAAGGTGAAAGCCGGTAATGTGGTTGACTATATTTAATAAACCTGTACTATAACGGCGGTTAATAGCTGGAAAAATGGGTCTTTCCAAAGATTGTCATTCTATCATCTCTCGGAGTAAATATGATTCTTATTAAAGTTTTTATTCTTTACAGGGGACACCACAGCAATGTTTAAAATGGGTATTATGAATGCAGTGTCTTCAGTTGATTGTTCTGCGTCGTCGTTTTAATGGGATATTCGACAAGGCGAGGCACTCCTGCCAGCCTCCTGGACCGTCCGTACACTTACAACAAAAACATTCAAAAATCCTACGACTTATAAAGTCTCAAGGGATATCCCAAGGGCTAGGAGAGTCTTGTAACATCTATTCTACCAAACATGATGGGAAGGCATCTACGATAAAAGGTTGGCCCCCCATTTGCAGACTGCAGAAATACAAAATAACGGTTCGTGAAAAAGTGAAATTATTTTGCGCTTTTTTTCCTACTTGACAGCGTAAACGATGGAGAAGTTTTGTTATCGATGGTTGGGATGCACACACACACACACACGTTTTTTTCTCCTCTCTCCGTTTGATACAAAATAGCATTTCGTGATTAATGGCATAACGTGTGTTTTTTGCCCTACGAGGTGTTATAAATTCACTCAAATTGACGTGTGTTGTTGAGATCAATCTGAAGAATAATGACCCATCAATGTAAAAATGAATGAATATGAAATTCTATGGTGTGGAGGTTTGGGCATTGTTTATCCCCTCAAAAATCTAGAGGGGAAAACTCATAGTTTCTTGATATTCACAATGATAGTGAAGAATAAAACACCAGTTATGGGTTGTCAGACAATTGAAAAGGAGGCTAATTTACTGTCCAAAGCAGTAAACCGACGTTATAATGTTGCAGCCTGTCTCAAGACATCATTGGAGAGGTTGTTGCCAAAAGATGGATAAAACGATGCGCTACATCAGGCCCAGATGCCAGTAAAAATTTCTTAATTCGCGCAATACACAGTCACATCTAGGAATTGCGCACTTTTTTGAAGCAGTTGGTGGAAAAGGAGGAGGAGGAGGAGGAGGAAAGAGGTGCCATTCTGCATGAAAAAAAATCACCTTATTATGACGCAGTTGATTTTCGGGAAAGAAAAGAGGGGAAGCAGGAGTGGTACAGAAGTTTCTACAGAAAGTGCTGCCACCACGACCGAACACTGCGTAACTTCACTTTTATTTCTTTCTGCTGTGCAAATTTAGTATTTAAATGAAGAATATTCATGAGGCTCCGTCGCAAACCGAGAAGGAGGCTTTGTGTTGGGACTTGAAAGAGAGTTACAAATGAGGCGAGTAATTAAGGCGCTGTGCTTTAAAGCTCTTCACCATAAAAATAAAATCACCGAAAAATCTCCAATCCCTCCTCTCATGTTATTTCTTGGGGTTTTTTAGACATCAATGACCTAACCACCTATATTACTGCATCAAGTTCGTTGAAATAAGTTTCATCCTTAAGAAAATGTTTATTTGAAATGCTGTTCGCGCACAAAGTGGCCTTTTTATTGAATAATTTAAACTTTTAGCCCATTCCCTCAAGAGACTCGAGATCTAAAAAGTAAAAGCATTAGGAATTTTTTAATTCCTTTTATTTTCTCATTTTACCGGACCCAGTTAAAAAAAAACTCTTATTCCCTAAACATGGCACACCTCCACGTCTGCATTGATGTCTGAAAGATGAGCCAATGTGTACAGCTACTACTAGTTATCAGCAAGTTGAAGTAGTCAACAAAGAACTCGGCTCGTAAGTTTCAAAGTTTCTTATTTTCCTGTCGGTCTTGGAATTAATGTCGAATTTTGACCATGGAAAGAGGTCATTAATTGAAACGGGAGGTAGTCTAACAATTACTAGTTACTCATTTACTGATACACTTTGATCTATAACTTGACAGCAAAGAAAAGAAAACTGCTAGATATATGCATATTTGCAAAAAAAAATAAGTTATAATTGGCGAATACCCCTTCCAAATGGATAAAGAAGCTTCCTCAAATGCGTAAGCCCAAGGTTCTTGTGCATCCCTAGACGTATCAGGGCGAGTACTGGAGTGATTTTTACTGCACACCCAAACAATTCTTAGATTTATTGTTTTTAAAATTAAAATAGAAAGTGGTGAACATTTCTTTTACCCAACGCAAATACCCCCCCCCACTGCCTTTTTTCTCTCAAAAAGGGCGCCTCTATCCATCTGTCGCTTTCAAAAGAGAGGATTAAAGAGTGGAAATTTCCAAAAGCAAAAGAAGGAGAAACTTCCCGAATACCCACTCCAAGTGATAATGCGCAATGCTAGCATCAGGTGGATTCGCACACAAAGGGTAAGCCAAGCCAATGCCACCATGATAGCGAAAATATGAGGAGATAATTAATGGAGAACAAATCGCATCACAACCATCAAAAATGGCTTGAAAAATTTAGCTGGCATTGCAACTCTAAAATTCCTTGCCATGCGTGATCAATCGTGCATTTGTTGGCGTAGCAAATTGGCTGAAATCTTAGTTCCCACTACCTACGGCAAAGTGAGCCTTTATTACAAAAAAAACAAATTTATCCTTCCTTAAAATAACAATAAATTTAAACACTGAATGGCTAATCTTCTGGGTAGTCATTCTCACAGGTAGATGTGGAGAATTTGTCAGTCCTGAATGACGCAAAGGCAGTAAATCCTCACAGCGTAGTGCATAAACAAGTCGTAACTCGAGTTTCAAGGGCATTGACAAGATTCAGCAGTGGCGTTGGAATTAAGTGAACAACCTGCGGGTAGTGTTGAAAGGCAACGACTGCGTTGCGATAGCAGACTCCGAAGATAAAATCAGCAAAGGCACCGGAACCAACTCTCATGAGAAGGGGAGGTCGATGTAACGAAACAATTGTTGCTAAATTTTGTATTTACCTACACAGGTTCTTCCAGCCTGTTGTTAGCACTCATAACGTGTTGTCCCCTTCACCTCTGTGGATCTTCAACAGACTTATTTCTGGAGCATTCTCAAAGAGGACCTGAGCCCTGTAGCTAAGATTAAGGAAAGTGACTAATTTTGGGTTGGTTTTTTGAAATAACCTTCGTCTTTGCGACTAAAACAAAAAAAACTTATAAATTATTCATTCCTTGATATTTGACTCAGTATCAATAAATTTCT